CCGCGTCACTGAGCTGTGTGGTTTGGAACAAGTTACAATCTCCCTGGTTATACTCATTTATTTTTCCATTGTGGTGAAAATATATACAACAAAACACACGTCATCTCTACACTTTCTCCATGTGCAATTCAGTGGACTGATGACATTCCCATCCTCCTCCTCTGAACTGGTCTTCCCCATGAACATAGATTTGCTGCCCTCTAACCCAAAACTCCCCTTCTCCCTCTCATCCCTGGTCACCACAAATAATCTTTGGTTTCTAAATGTTTTCTTACTTCGCGTAAGTAAGATCACACAGTATTTGTACTTTTACGACTAATTTCACTGAGCATGTCGTTTTTGAGGCTCATCCATGGTGTGGAGTGCATCAGGACTTCATTCTTCTTTACAGCTGCGTAATATTCCATTGTGTGTTTTTACCACATTGCATCTGTTCATCTGTTGGCAAAGAATATTGACTACACCACGGACTGCCAGAAGAACGAGCAAATCTGTCTTGGAAGAAGTACAGCCAGAATGCTGCTTAGAAGCAAGGATGGCGAGACTTCACCTCACATACTTTGGTCATGTGATCAAGAAGGACCACTCTCCAGAGGACAACATGCTTGGTGTGGTAGTTAAGGTTATGTGTCAACTTGGCTGGGCCTGGTTGAGTGGCTGGGCAGCTGGCTGTAGTTATTCCCCACGGTGAGAGTGGCAATGAACTTCATGGTGGAATCTACTGTAGCAGCTAAGTAGCCGCTTTAGGGATGTGGTGCACAGGTTTCTGTTTGTTTGACAAAGGTCTCCAGCTTTTGGTACATTTGAATCCTGCATGTAGCTGAGGCGTTATTCAGCACCCTGCCATGTGCTATGTTGTCTGACAATCTTGGGACTGTTAACGGACTTCAATCAACGGCGTGCCACGTGGTTTGGTAATATCAGGACTCTGCTTTTCCACTTGTTAACCTTGAGTTTGTCAGCCTCAGCAACCAGCAGGTCCCTGAGTGAAGAAAGCTTCCAGCTTCCGTGGGCCGGGAGCAAGAGGAGAGTTGAAACCCTAGAGCCAGGAGCTTTCACCCAGCCCCTAGAGCCTGGCACTTTGAATTCAGACTTCTAGCCTCCAAAATTGTAAGAGAATGAATTCCTGTTTGTTAAAGCCATCCCATTTGTGGTATATTCCTGTCAGAGTGGCACCAGGGAACCAGAACACTTGGTAAAGTAGGTGATGAGCGAAAAGAGGAAGACCCTCAATGAGTTGATTGACACAGTGGCCGCAAGAATGGGCTCAAGCATGGCTACTGTTGTGAGGATGGGGCAGGACCGGGCAACGCTTTGTTCCCCTGTACGAGGGGTCATGGTGGGTCGGAGCTGACTTGCATGGAACAAGCGTTCAATGTTGTGAAAGGATGATGTCCAACGCTCACAGGCTGCTTGCTATGTCCCAGGCACTGTGCTCAGCTATTCCTATGCCTGGTCTCATTGCATTCTCTCCATAACCCATGAGTTAGAGGCAGGGATGGTCATCGTTGTTGACTGCCATCAAATTGACTCCAAATCCTGGTAGCCCCCATACACAACAGGACACCACGCTGCCTGCCCCGATGTCACCCTAACAACTCCCAGCATTAAATTCACCTTTGTGGCCATCGTGCCGACCCATCTCACCGAGCGCCTCCCTCGCCCTCACCGGCGCTCCATTTCACCAAATGTGACGTCCTCCTCCAGGGATGGATCCCTCCTATTGATGTGTCTAAAGCAATCGCATCAGACAACGTTCTGCTGTCGTTCACAGGGATTTCAGTGGCTGATTTTCTAAAGTAGATCACCAGGCCTTCCTTCCTAGTCTGGAAGCGTCGCTGAAACCTGTCCATCATGGGTGACCCTGCTGATATTTTAAATACCGGTGGCCCAGCTTGCAGGCTCTTAGTAACAATCAAGCCACCACAGCATGAATGACACACTGACAGATGGGTGGTGGTGGGGGCGGTGGTCATCACGCCCATTTAACAGGCGAGGAAACAGAGGCTCAGAAAGACGCAGCGAGTTGTTGAAGGAATCACAAGATTTGCTCTCCTAACCACTGCACTGTATTGCCCTTCTGTGAACTGTCCTGGGTTTCTGGCTGCCTCAGCTTCGGAGCAAGGGACACATCGCAAAGATGAGAAGGCTGGGCTCAGCCAGTGATGTCACCACCCAGGATGGTGAGACTTCATCACCACCCAGGTTGCTCAGAGTCAGTGAGTGTGGTAGTTTGCTTTGTGTGTCAGCTTGGCTGGGCCTGGTTCAGTGGCTGGGCAGCTGGTGGTAGTTATTCCCCATGATGAGACTGGCAATCAACTCCATGGTGGGGTCGACAACAAGCAGCTGAGTAGCTGCCTTTGGGATGTGGTCTGCTTCCTATATATAAGGAGAAGCCTTGGGAATGGTCTCTAGCCTATGGCACACTTGGACCCTGCATGTAGCCATGTCATTGCTCAGCAGCCTGCCATGCTCTGCCGACCTTGGGACTTACAGTGGACTTAAGTTAATGGCCTGCCATGTGGATTGGTAACATCGGGACTGTGCCTGTTTACTTGTCAAACTTGGGGCTTCTCAGCCTTAGCAGCCAGCAGCTGTCTGAGTGAAGAAACGCCTCTAGCTCCAGTGGGCCGGGAGCAGGAGGCAGAGCTGGACCCCAAGGTTGAGGGGCTTTCACCCAGCCCCTAGAGCCTGGCACTTGAACTTGGACTTGTTGTTGTTGTTGTTGTTGTTTGCCGTCAAGTCGGCCCCGACTCATAGCGACCCCTCCTTGGGTTTCTGAGGCAGTATCACTATGGAAGTAGGATTGCCCAACCTTCCTTCTGAGGAGTGGCTGGTGGGTTTGAACCGCCAGCCTTCTGGTGAGCAGTCAAGTGCCTTAGGCACTATGCTACCAGAGCTCCTGAACTTGGACTTAAAGCCTACAAATTGTAAGAATAAACTCCTGTTTGTTAAGACCATCCCATTTGTGGTATATTTCTCGTCAGAGCGGCACTAGGCAACCAGAACAGTAAGCAACTGAGCTGGAACAGGAACCCAGGGTGGCCTAGGCCCAGAATCTATACACTGCACAGCCTCTACGTGTGCATGTATGTGGATGTTTGAAAAGGGGGCCCTTTTCAAACTTGGGTAGGTCCTCAACGAGATGGATGGACACAGTGGCTGCAACGATGGGCTCAGGTACAGCAAGGCTTGTGAGCCTGCCACAGGACCGGGCAGAAAAACCAAACTCATTGCCGTCAAGGAAATCCCGACTCATAGCAACCCCTCCTTGGGTTTCCAAGGCAAATCTCTACAGAAGTAGATTGTACAGTCTTCCTTCCGAGGAGTGGCTGGTGGGTTTGAACAGTCAGGGTTGCTATGAGTTAGAGCCGACTTGACAGGAACTAACACCACCACCACCACCCCTGGGCAGCAGAGGGGCTGGAGCTGTGGTCATGGGTTCGAGTCCTAACTCACACCTGCTCCTTTGGGCTCAGTTTCCCTTATGCAAAGCTTGAGCCAGAGATATGGAAGCAGTTCAAGATAGTGAGTACCTGGGGAGGCTCCTGAGTCAGAAATACAGCTTCTCTGGGCCTCAGTTTTTTTGTCAGTGAAATGGAGGTCATAATACAGTAAAGCTTGTGAAAGCTGGAAACTGTGTGGGGCGGAAACCTGTCTGAGAAGGAAAATGCAAATATTTTCCACTAATAGACGATAATAGAAAAGGGGTAAGACTGTACCCCATCCAAGGCAGAAAACCTGTGAGACCCAGAAAAACCAGGCAGTCATGTTGAGTTCTGGCTCTCAAAGGCTTTGCTGTATTTAGCAATTACATATATATATATATACACATACATACATATATATATATATATATATATATATATAGGTTCTGAAATTATGTACCTTTAAATGAATTTTGCAAATAAAATTGTATTATAAATTTAGCAATAATATTATCCATCCTGACATGACTGACATTTGGGGGCCCTTCTCCGGGGGGGATGTCCTATACACTGTAGGGTGTTGAGCAGCATCTCTGGCCTCCACCCACTTGATGCCAGTAGCACTCCCCTCCACTTGTGACAACCACAAATGTCCCTCCCTGGACTTCATCAAGTGTCCCCGGGGGCAGAATCACCCCTGGTAAGACCCATTGCCCATATCATAGGGTTGGAAGCCTATGTTGTGTTAATGTATCTGACATTCAGGGCTACATATGAGATTCCCAGCTCTGCTGTTTGCGTCCTGTGGCCCCAGGAGACTCACTTCCATTTCAGAGCCTCAATTTCTCCATATGTAACATGGGGATTTAGCCACAAGGACCGCACCCAAAGGTGCCACCTGAACCGAGCAGACATGTACAAACTGCTTTAGTCCACTAAGCACTCACTCAAGGAGCCCTGCTGGCACAATGGTTAAGCACTTAGCTGCTAACCAAAAGGTTGGCAGTTCAAACCCACCCAGCAGCTCCATAGGCAATTACAGCAAAGATTAACCTTGGAACCACACCCACTGCCATGGAGTTGATTCTGACTCACAGCGCCCCTAGAGGACAGAGCAGAACTGCTCCACAGGGTCTCCAAGGTTGTCAATCTTCCCAGAAGCAAAGCCCAAACCAAACCCAATGCCCTGGAGTCGATTCTGACTCACAGCACCCCTAGAGGACATAGTGGAACTGCACCACAGGGTTTCCTAGGTTTAATCTTTAATGGGAGCTGACTGCCTCATCTTTCTTCTGCTGCAGTGGATAGTGGGTTCAAACCATTAACATTTTGGTTGGCAGCCGAATGCTTTAACCACAGTGCCGCCAGAGCTCTTTAACAATAAAGATGATAGCCTAGAAAACTTATGGGACGGTTCTACTCTGTTCCATGGAGTCACTATGAGTCGGAACCAACTCCACTACACTCGACAACAACAAAGAGCTCACTCAACAGGCACCACTGTTCCCTCAAATGGAATCTTCTAGAAGGCCCTGGAAGTGGCCCCCGAGCACCCTCCCTCCTGGGCCCCAGACTCAGTGGGCCACGGCAGCGAGCGTTGGAGACACTTCCTGTGCGGTGGCTGGCGGCACCTACCGCGCCAGGTGGGCCAACGGGAGAATGCAGCTGGGGCCACCCCACTTCCTGCCCTTGTAGAGGTACCGCCCTGATGCTCCCCCATCCCCAAAATATCCCCCTCTCCCAAAACAAGCACCATCAGAGCCCACTGCAACCTCTGACTGAAGGTCACCCGCCCCCCCCGCCCCCCAGCAGCCGCCACGGGTGCCTGTCCCACTGGGAGTGCCCACCCCTGCTGCTGCTACCTCCGGCATTCCATTCCCAAGGGGGGACCTGGCCTCCCCCACCGTCCAGGAAACACAAACTCCCAGGAGGCCGGCAGAAAGGGAAGAGGGGCTGGGGCTCATCTCCGACCAGGACCCCCATTTCTCACCCCCAGTGTGTTTGGGGCGGGAAGGGGCTGGTTGCCAGGACAACAACCCCCACCTCCTCTGCCTGGGAACAAAGAGATAGCCGGCTGCGCCAAGAACGGCATGTTCCTTCCCCGCCAATGTGACTGGCGCAGCCTGGCAGCCGGCAATCAGAGAACCATGCCCAGAACCAACCGCCGGCCTGGCCACCCTCAACAAGGGTGGGGGTGGCTGGGAGGCAGTGGTGGCTGCGGGGACAGATTGGCCATGAGATTGGTGTCTCGTCAGGGTCTCCAGACCACAGTCTTTCCATCACAGTCTGTCCGCACAGCCTGAAGGACCTCACAGAAAGGGCAGAGAGCTACAAATAGCTGGCTCCATGCTGGCCACCGCAGCCTGGGGACAAAGGACCCCACGCAGGGCCTGCAGTGGCCTCAGGCATGAGTCTAGGGCTGGGTGAGAACACCACCAGTGGCCATGGCCAGTCCAGGTCTCAGCATGGCTCCCCTCCCCCAAGCCTGCCATGCCTAGCCTCCCCTCACCTCGCAGGGGACAGCGGGCAGCTGGCGCCACTGAGGGCCAGGGGGCGGGGACGGGCCAGGGCCTGAATGTTAAAAGACCCCTGGCTTCCTGCGGCGAGCAGGCCAGGATAAGACAAAACACTTCCCTGTTGCCTACCAGGCCACGTTGACCAGGCAGTCTACCCACTGAGTGGGAACCCAGTGAGGGTGACATGTGGCAGGCCAGGCCAGGTTGGAATAGAATTGCCAGGTGAAACAGACACAAAGCTAGACAAATACATTTTTAATATAAGTATACCCCTTGCAATATTTGGGATAGACTCAAAAATTATTTATTGTTCTCTGCTTCTGCAAAGATTGTTGTCAGATGCTGGTGAGTCAATTTCGACTCCTAGTGACCCTGCGTGAGAGAGTGGGGCTGCCTGAGAGGGTTTTCTAGCCTATAATCCTGATGGGGCAGATCACCAGGTCTTTCTCCTGCAGAGCCACTGCATGAGTTCAAACTACCAACCTTTGGGTTAGCAGCCAAGCGCTAACTGCTATGCCACCAGAGCTCCTTCCAAAAAAAAAAAAAAAAGACCAGTGGGGAGGTTCTACCGTGCCACATGGGGTCGGCATGAGTTGGAATGGACTGCATGGCACCCAACGACGACCAAAAATTCCCGAGCTGAGGGTCTTCTAGTTTTCTTTGCTTTGTCTGACAACCCTAGGGTGGGCGTTCCAGGAGAGGCAACGAACTCTGCAATGTTCCCCAAAGTTGCTCCTCTGTTGGGTCCCTGGCTCAGACAGCACCAATTTCCCTGCCCCCAGTCCTCAGCTAGAGGCAGCACCAGCCTCCCCTCCCAATCATGGCCCATCCACTCCTGCCCTCCGGAGTGTGTCGCCAGTCTGCTCTGCCCCCTGCACACCTGGCATGGGCCATGGCTCCACCCAAACCCTGCCCGCCTTTCCCTGCTTCTCACTCGCTCCACCTAGTCTTCAGTCAAGAGCTGAACGAGGCCCTCCCCTGCTCTGAATCCAACAGTGGCTCCCCACTGCTCCCAGGATAAAGGTCATTCAAGGGCCCTTCCCCAGAAGGGCTCCAGCTGGTCTACTCCCCAACACCCAAACGCCGCTCTCCTCTGGCCACTTGGTGGAGCTCTCGTTGTCCAAATGCTTCCGTCTCTCTCCAGCTGCTGGACATGGCCGTTACCTAAACCTAAGTCAGGGCCTATCCTTCCTCTGCCCACAGCCCTCCCGGGCTCCCACCTCCCTGGGTTACAAGCCCAAGCCCTCCCTGAGGCCCACAGGGCCCTCATGACCTGCCCCATCCCCCTCCTGGCCTCCCCTCCTCTTCTCTCCCCCTCACTCACTGCTCTGGCCACACAGGCCTCTTCGCTGTGCCTCCAGCTTACCAGACCCGGTCCTGTCTCAGGGCTTTTGCACAGGCTGCACCCTCTGTCTAGAGCACAGGGTACCCCAGAGGGCCAGAGAGTTTACCTCCTCACTGCCTTTAGGCTTCAGCTCAAATGTCACCCCCGCAGAGAAGTCTCTCTTGTCTACCTCACTGAAAATCGCAAATCGCCCCTCATCTCCTTCTCCGGCTATATTTTGTCCACTGCTCATACTGCCCTCTAACCGACTGCCATGTATCACTTTGAGTTTCACGTATCACCTGCTTCATCTACTAGGATGCCAGCTCCACCGTGCAGGGACTTTGTCTGTCTGGCTCACCACCGTATTCCCGGTGAGCACACCAGAACCAAATCCAGAACCAAACCCAGTACCATCGAGTCAGTTCCAACTCACAGTGATCCTGTAGGACACAGGAAAACTGTCCCATAGGGTTTCTCAAATTTTAACTTTTTATTGTGATTTGGATGAAATTTTACAAAGTAGATTCGTTTTCCATTCAATAGTTCATATACATTTTGTTTTGTAACATGGATTACAACAGAACAGCTCTCCTCCCACTTCCTTCCTGCAGTCACCCTATACCTATATCCTTCTCTCCTATGCATTCCTGCCTCCCAACCTTTCTCCCTGTGCAAATGCCACCCTTCTGATCTCCCACAGTTTACTGTTCTAAGGAGTGCATCTCCCTGGGGTAGGTGTTCAGCTTGTAGGCCTGTCTGTTGTTTAGCTGGTGGTTAAGACACCAGAGAGAGTCCCGTTCTGGACCCGAAGGGTGACTTTGAGGCTATCGTCTTGGGGGATCACCAGTCTCTGTCTGACCAGTAATCCTGGTCTTTTTAATGTTTTTTAATTTTGTTCTAATTTTTTCTCCCACTCTATCCAGGATCTCCAATTCTGATCCCTTTGAGTGGTTGGCAGCGGTAGCTGGGCACCATCTAGTTCTTCTGGTGTCAGGGTTGTGTAGGCTGAGGTTCTCATGGTCCATTAGTGCTTTGAATTAATTGTTTCCATGCATCTTGGATTTTCTTCAATCTTCTTTGCTCTGAACGAGGAGAAACCAATAGTTGTATCTTAGATGGCTAAGCAAGCTTTTAAGACCCCAGTCACCACTCACCAATGTAGGATGTAGAACAGTGTTTTGTGTGCTGTGTTATGCCAATTGAGTTTGATGTCCCCCACAACCATGGTACTGAGACCACAGGCCCAGCGACTCACTCCCTCAAAGTTCTGAGTTGTGGCTAAGAAGTTATCTTAAGAAGCTATCCCACTAACTACCCTTCAGGTCTGGAATTGAACCCACACCTGTGGTTTCCAGCCAAACAAAAGACAGGCATATGAGATGAACATTTTCCTCAAGTAGATACTCTCCTTGGAGAGAACAATCATGGGAGAAAGAAGGGCTGCTTATGCACAGGGAGACAGCTCAGGGGGCAGGGGTGCATGGAGGGATGGACACAGGGAAGAGGTAACTATGGGGAGGAAGTGAGAGGGGAGCTGTTGCATTGTGGTAAACTGTGGTCAATGTCATGAGACAAAGTATATGTTAACTGCTGTACGGAAAGTGAATTTGCTCTGTAAATCTTCACCCAAATCACAATTAAAAAAAAAAAAAAGAAGCTATCCTGTTAGCTCTATACTGCACATGGACATTTTTATAGCACACACATACATGCATGTAACAACACTGTCTGCCCAACCTATGTATGGTGTAGATGGATACATTCCTCCTCACCTATCCATACCAGATCTTCTTGCCTATCTACCTATGTATCCCACAGGGTTTCCAAGGCTGCAAATCTTATGGAAGCAGACTACCTGATCTTTCTTCTGCAGAGTGGCTGGTGGGTTCAAACTGCCAACCTTCCAGTTAGCAGATGAATGCTTAACCACTGTGCCACTTGTTGGGCAAACCAAAAAAACCAAAACCAAACTCAATGTCATTGAGTCAGTTCCACTCACAGCAACCCCATTGGCTTTCCACAGCTGTAAATTTTTACAGAAATAGATCACCCCATCTTCCTTCTGCAGAGTGGCTGGTGGGTTTGAACCACTGACCTGGTTAGCAGCCAAATGCCTTATCCACTATGCCACCAGAGCTCCTGGGCCTATAGTAGGTGCTTAATAAATACTTTCTGAATGAATGAAAATCACTGTTACGGGTTGAATTGTGTCTCCTTACAAAGTTATGTTGAAGTCCTGAGCCCTGGCACCTGTGAAGGTGATCTTGTTTGGATACAGGGTCTTTCAGATGGTATCAGAGGTTCACACGAGGTCACACTGGAGTCAGGTGGGGCCTCATCCAGTATGAGTGGTATGTTTATAAGAAGAGACAGACAGGGAGAAGACAGCCATGTAAACACAAAGGCAGAAATTGGAGAGATGCAGACCCAAGCCAAGGATGACCACCTGGGGCTACCCGATGTTGGGAGAGAGGAAGAAGGGTCTTCCCTAGAGCCTTCAGCGACAGCCTGGCCCTGCTAACACCTGGGTTTCAGACTTCTAGCCTCCAGACTGTGAGAGTGAATTTCTGTGTTTTAAGACACCTCGGATGTAGGAGGGAACTCTGGTGGTGTCGTGCCTAAGGCATTTGACTGCTAACCAGAAGGCTGGCGGTTCAAACCAACCAGCCACTCCTCCGAAGGAAGGTTGGGCAATCTACTTCCGTAGAGATACCGCCTCAGGAACCCAAGGAGAGGTCACTATGACTTGGATCCAACTCGACAGCAGTGAGTTTGGGTTCTTTTTTTTCGTGTGTAAATACATTATTATGGCGCCACTATGCCTGAAATGGTCTCCTTGCACCTCCCCAGCC